AAGTACATCCTGAGAATGTTTTACTGTGCCTAGGGGAATGCACAGCCCTGTTTTCAAGGGGGAGAGAGCGCTTATTGGCTCACCATACAAAGGAAAATGTTTTTCGTCAGTGAAATGGCGAAAGAGTGGCTGTCATAGTTTTTTATCCTTTAACTAGCAGCTGTTTTCTGTTGTAGATCTGAGATGCAGTAGATGGTGCTGAAGCAACACTGAGGCTCCTGAAATATCCACAGTCCAGTGTGGATATAGAAAGTGCCTGCTGGCTCTCCCAAACATTGATGGTCCTGTGTCTTCAAGAGCTGTACTCTGGGACAAGAAAACACTGACTGTTAGTTTTAAAAACGTTAATAAATAATTCTTTGTGTTACTTTTTTGTTCTTTATTGCTTGTGAAGGTAGGTAGATTAGGTAGTATAAATACCAGCCAAGTAGCGCTTCAGGTGGTTTCAGCTCTGTGTGCAGATAGTGGTCAAATTTAAGCTGTTGAATGTCAGCTCTTTGACAGCTGTTGCTCAGTGTTGCCAAAATCAACACTGAAAGACAGGTGGAAGTTTGGGAGGACACTGCTCTAGGAATACATATTATAGCACACAGCCACAGTGCTTGTGTTCCTGTCTGTCCATGCACTCACTGGGAGAAGCATGCAGGCAGGAAATGTTTCACAGTATGACTAAGAAGTTGTATCAAGGTTTGTACTGTCAAAATAATGCACTGTGAGCAAGCCTTACTAGCTAGGTAATATGAGCTAGCATTGATTGTTCTGCTAAAGGTCCTCTCAAGAATGCAGGTTGATAGTGGTGGTCAGGGTGCCAACTAATGACACAGTGGCATCTGCTCTCAGCTCATAAAAGTACCTGTCTCTTTGAACTGTGTAGATTTGATAATTGGTAGATACTTTGTATCCCATTAGTGAAAGTAAAAAAGTCTGCCTTTTTTACATTGGAGCCATTAATTTAATACTACAACTTGTGTTAGGTAATTGGCACGAGGGCAGGATGACTAGGACTTCATCACTGACATATATCCAACAAAGAATGCTTAGCTGACTTTAAAGATTAAATCATGGGCCAAAAAAATCTATTTTTTCTTCAGCCTTTGGTTTTGTGAATAACCAAAATTCCTGTCCACTGCTTCTGAAAATTCTGCTAGTAGCATGATGGAATTGGCGTGATATGGTAGTGTCACTTTCCGGAGTTGTGAATAGCAATAGGGAACTTGACTGGCTCTCTGAACCAATGGAAGTTATTTTCACTGTTTCTAAGTATAGGGGGTGGATGAATGGGGAAGTGCACTTCTTGCATTTTCCTCACCTAATTGGAGGATCTTAAGCTTTAGAAGTGCTTTAATGTTTCACAATTCTTTGGCTTTTCTTCATTTAAGAGAGCCCTCCCACTGCCTATAAAAGCTGCCTATAAGTGGCTTTTTTCGGATCATTTATGTATGTGTGAACATAAATAGACACCCACACCTTTTACATGGGAAGTGAAAACTATAGGAGAAAAATTACAGTTATCTTGGGTGACTTTGTACACACCACTTCTGTATATAAGGAATATGAGCCTGAGAGCAATGGAAAATTGCTTTCTCTTGTTCTGTTGTGCTTCTGTTTTTTCCAGTGTACAATGAGTATACCCTACAGGATTCAGGATCCTTACATAAGGAGAGAACAGTACAGCAAGTACCTTCTGAATTGGTCTTATAAGTGAATATTATGTTTTCAGCTTGGGGAAAAAAAGGCAGGGGGAGTGTGAAATCAACTTCTCTACCTTATATCAGAGAAAAAAGCAAAAGTTCCTTGTTAGCTTATTTAGAAAACTCATGATCAAATGCAGCATTTAAAGGCTGCCTTACTAGCCGTCATTTTGTAACTTTTTTTCTACTTTTTAATACTGTGAGCAGTAACATAAAAACTAATGTAAGGTGACTAGTTTTTTAACACTTCAGCTGGACCCTTACAGATTTATTGAAATCCTGTAGCAATCAAAACTGAGAGCTAATGATAGTTGTAGGCTGCTATCTATTTTGACTGAAATCTACCATGGAGCAGTTAAGTGTAGAGGTTATTTTAAATGTTAGACATTCTAGTAGGATTACATTATTTTAGCAGTTTCTTAAAAAAAACATACTCAAAATCTAATCTGTTTTGACTATTACAATGCAGATTGTAGAATTTAATTTTCTAAATTTTTAAATGTGTATTTATTTATTTATTTCAAGGATACATGTTTTCTTATGCACTATATTCTGAAGAAAATTGTGCCCGTACCAGTCAGATTATTAGATTCTGCTGTAACTTTAGTCTGAATTTTCACAGCCTTGTGCTACCATCGAATGAATCTCACTTTGTCTTCCTGTTGGGACCCAGTCTTACTGGAAGTTTCTTTCTCATTTAGATACTTGATGAGGTTACTTTCAGCTTTTTGGGGTGATAAAAATAATTGAAGATTTTAGGCCTTGTATTACGAGGCAGGTTTTTCAGCCTTAAGTCTTCGAACATATTTCTTTATGCATTTATTTTAATGTTCAGTATCTTCAGGGCTCGACACTTCAATCCATGCATAATGCCATATCCAGAAGCAATACATTTGTATGTCGCTTTGACTTCTAACTTGCTTGTAAGAATTACACTCGCGCTTTCTTCTGAAGTTTTTAAATTTTGGTTTTAGTGACTCTGGGTTACTGCTTTTCTGGGTGCAGTAACATGAATTATGTTTTTAGATAGGTGATGTGTTGCATTTTAAGTGTTCACAGGCGTATTTTTCAAAATGGCATGCTTTGCAAGGTTAGTCTGTGTAATGGATCTGTTCTTATCACTTACCAAGCTTAGCGTTTGTGTTGCTCTTTGTAAAAGAGAGGGATGGTTTTGGATTTGTTTTATGTTAGCTTCTAAAAATACTGACAGGGTGAACATTGTGTTTACCCTGAAAGAAATACCCCTTTGGATGTTGATTCCACATTTACAATTACTTATGATTGGTTAATTGTTTTTAATCGACAATACAATCAACACAAAAATAACATTATCCAAAATTAGTAAGGATGACACATGGAGCTAGGCCAAGTGCCTTATGGGCATATCTGTCACAATTGCTTTTATTGCTTGTATTTGTGGTTTCTTCTGGTTAGAGACTTTGACTGATACTTGTTTATTCACACTTATTGTCTGTTGATTTTCCTTCATGCTGTTGCTATTCACATTTTAATTTTTTCTTTTGCTCTTGCTTGCTAGGAAAGATAAAGGCATATTAGAAAGGTATAATGCTTAGAGAAATTGAAGGAAAATGCTTCTTGTATTTCGAGTGGAGTCACAAGGAGTCGCACCCCTACACTCAGCTAAGTCTTTGAAATATTTTTGTCAAACTCAAGATCTCTTTTCTTTATCCTTTCAAGAAGAGAAATGGGTATTATAGCACCTTTAAAGGAAAGAGTCATTCCATTGCTTTGAATTTTTATGTATCCTTCAGATCGGCTACAGAAGGCTAATAGTGATTTGAAAAACCTGAATGTAAGGAACTTGTGCTAAAATCACTCTGTTCAATACTAGGAACACTTTTTATTGCCACACATTGTAAGAAAACAAAGCAGTGAAATAAAGCAATTGAAAAAAAAAATCATCATGTCAGTGACTTATGATTTTTACCTATAAAGATGGTATTTTAAATTTTGTGTGTGCAGGTGCATGTTTTAGTCCATTTGCTTTGTGCATGTCACAGTAAGCTTTAAGAAACTGATCCCCTAAAACTTGAAATGGATTTAGTTTAGGTATTTGTCCTTCTTCAAGACATTTGACATGGAATATTTAACTTGAGGAGCACAAAATTTGATTAATTTCTCTATGAATGGCACACTGTCTCCTGCTCTGAAAAGTAAAACCCCCACAACTTTAATACTGCAGTGTGTCAGATTTATTTTGCATTGCTGTGCATGAAAAAAGCAGAGACAATACTCTTTTCTGGTTCCATATCTGAAGCATAGAAGGAGGTATATTTAACTTGTTTAACTATAGATGTTTAGTCATAAAGCTTTTCTGCAGTTGAAATGGAAATAACATCATAATTTAATTCCTTTGTCATGTTATCTCATCCTTCGTGATTTAAGTTTTCAGCTGTCTGATATGTTCTGTGCCTACTCGCAAGTTAACTTTGAGTAATTTATGTTAGTTGGTATAAAGTTGGTGAGATACTTTAATTTTCTCAAGCAGTGAAGAGGTTTATTTATCGGGTACTGCAGATCTGCTGCTATAAACTTTCTAAACTCTCTTTTTCTGCTCATTGGAGTTGCTCAGGTATTTTAGTGATGATGCTTTGGAAATATCTTGGGTAAATGACACAGTATTTTGGATTTAGATTAGACAGCTTTAAACGTTTGTGTATAAAGCTGTCTGGTGTAAAGACTGGGTGTATTGTTTATTATGTGAAATAGCATCCAAACCTTTCCTGTGTTGTTATGTATATGAAACCAGTAAGTGTCAAGTCAAATACAGTAGCCCAGTCTGCTATACTAGAAGACTAAAGCATCCTGGATGATGGTGGTGTGTGGTTGCATGTCATAAATTGTGCAAAGCTGAGGGGAAGTGACAAAATAAATATATATTTAAAAAGGGGGATGACTTGGGAAAATTAAACTATAATTGTCTTGGTGACTCAATGTACTTCTCAGTGCTTCATTTCCCAGTACTGACTAAGATGGGTGAGTTGTTGGGAATGTAATGGAATGGTATTTCAGTATTGTATTAAAGAGGAAAAGAAAATAGGAGTGGAAGCTTTTGAGTTTAAGAACTGTAGGGTCCGGTAGTGGTCTGTAAATGTCTGAACTATATTTTAAAGGTTTCAGTTCATGTTTTGCTTGTTTAATGTAATTAGTTTGTATCTAGGTGTGTCATTTTATTGGTAGGATGGTCATTTTGGGAAAGAACTTGTCTTGATGAGAAAGGATGATTGCAGTCTATAAATTCAGTAATTCATCTATGAAAGAAAGAACTTCAGTAATCATTAGCTGAATTGGTTTGCAGAATATTCTGCCATGTATATGGGGTGCTTTGGGTTTTATTGTTTTTGCTGCAATGCTTTTTTTACATGTACATGATCTTCCTTTTTTTTTTTCAGGTCTTGACTATAAACTTACGTAAGTTCTAAAAATGGGAAGAATTTTTCTGGATCATATTGGCGGCACTCGCCTGTTCTCCTGTGCAAACTGCGACACGATTCTGACCAATCGTTCTGAGCTCATCTCCACTCGTTTTACAGGGGCCACGGGAAGAGCCTTTCTTTTTAACAAGGTTGGTAAGAAGCTGAGGGGGAACTACTATTAGCTTTTGAAAAATGAGTTTGTGGGATATGAATCTGTTATCAAAACTAAAAAGCTTTTATTTTGTTCTATTCAACTGTCTTTGAAGTCAAATTAGGCATTTGCTATTGATGGCAAGCTATCTAAATTAGTTTATCTGCAATACTAAAAGACTATAAAGAGGATTGTGTATATAGAGGCATCATGCCAAAATGCATGGAGTTTTAACTTTGGAGACTTCTGTAATATGAACCTCAAATTCCCTGTGAGAGTATCTTTTGTCCATCAAAGAGTTTCAAAGGCATTTGCACTTTTACTCAGTTTAAAAAAAAAAAAAAGTCTAGATAGTATTCTGTTTAATTTCTAAAACGCATTTAAGCTAACAGTAGTATTTAATTCAACAGATTGAAATATGGAAGTCATAACTCTGAGTGAATTGTAGCATTATTTATTAGCCCTCCATATAGATTTGTCCCTTAGACTCATTGAAAAAACAGTGATTGTCCTTTGCTTTCTCACAAAGTTCCTGGTCATGTAATCATTGGTTTGTTTTGGTTTGGGTTTTTTCTTGAAAGCCATTTGGTCATCGGCAGAGTTGAAAGAGGCATCAGTAATGTCTTCACTTAACTGTGCTTGGCCTTGGGATTTCTGGCATGCTGAATCCTGTCAGTAGTATTTATAGGTAAATGTTAGGCTGCATAGCTATAAAAGAGCTGATTTTTTTCTCATCCAATAAGCATTGCATCCTGGGGTTCAAATTTTGCTTGTGTTACATAGTGGAGTTTAGTCACAGAAGTTTGATTTTTACATTTCTGCAGTCAGAAGCCTTACATCTGAAGCAGAGAGAGCAAGCACAGTCAGGTGGAAAGTTGAGAAAGCAGTGCAACCCCATCTTTTAGAATCCTACTGCGTATTATCAGTTTGGATGTAGTTCTGATGTCAACTTTTCAACTAATTATGCACCCTGGTTCTGTGGTGTTGCTGCCTAAACAAGTTAAAAGTATATTTTAAGCTGCCGAGATGGCACACAAAAAAAGGTGAATGTTTAATGCCTACATTCTCAGCCAGTGAGCCTTCCTTTTTCTTAGATGATTATTTCAAAAGCACCCTAAGATTTTTAAAGAAGTACCTCTCTTAATATTTTGGTTCTGATTTCTGGGAATAAGTGATCATCCAGAAGTGGGTTACATATATTACAAGTGGATTAATACCAATTAGTTTACAAGCTATTCACCAGGAATTTCTCACTCAAAGTTGAACACAGTACTCTGCACATCTTGTGATAGCATTTCACGTCTCTCAGTTAAACAGTGAGGGTTATACATCCCCGTGAAGCACATCTTCAAAGCATTACCTTCTCAAGCAGGAGATTTTCAAGGACTGTTGACTTACTACACTGCAGTTTTCAGTTCATGTGCAGTGCCACAGGATCCTTACTTTTAAAATGTTGGTAGTCGTGGACCTTGTAACAAAGCTTTGCTCTAGGCAACTAATCCTTTCTATTCCCTATCCCCTGTATATTTGTATCAGGTGGTAAATTTGCAATACAGTGAAGTTCAGGATCGGGTCATGCTCACTGGCCGCCACATGGTTCGAGATGTGAGCTGCAAGAACTGCAACAGCAAATTGGGTTGGATCTATGAATTTGCCACTGAAGACAGCCAGCGCTACAAGGAAGGCCGTGTTATCCTGGAAAGAGCGTTGGTCCGAGAGAGTGAAGGATTTGAGGAGCATGTTCCATCCGACAATTCCTGAAAAGGCTTGAGTCTCTTTGCAGGTTCTCTTCAATTGAAACTCAAAAATAATAAAATCAACAAAAAAATCTGCTTACATACACTGTCACCTTAGCATCAGAGTCGGATTCATGGACTACAGAGTGGGAAAGATTGTGAGAGTATTTCAGATGGAACCTTCCTTTCTTTATTCCTTTTATATTTTACTTTCCCTCCAGCAGCTGTTTGTAGAAAGAATGTTGTGCAGATGCTGTAACTTTTTCTCTCTTGCATTTACATCTGTTAGATTTGAGATTGTATCTACAGATACAGTGGACTAAAAGGAAAATACTTGGGGGATTTGTCTTTTGTTAGAGAGAAATCAATGAATTTTTTTAGTTTGCACAAACTGATGTCAGCGTAAAGTTATTTTAAAACTACAGATGTTTTTTAAAAAGTATATTCCAATTTTTGGCTTAAGTTTTTAGTTAGTTTTGTTTTTTTTTTTCCCGGTCTTTTCACCTGATTTGCTAGCTAAAGTAAAGAGATCCGAATTTGTGCCGAGTGCTAAAGGTTCAGTGTTGGTACAGCTTGGGCTGGCCCTTGTGCCATATTCTTGTTGAGGTTGATTGGTAGCACAGAGCCCATTATTTCTTGTCGTTCTTGACCCAAAGATGTCACCATTCCTTGTTTATTTGTGAAGTCCCATTCACCATGTAAACTGGTGTTGATTGGAAACTATTCTTGAAATAGGGCAAAACTGCTTGGCTTTTTTTAATTTTAACTGATGTAACTTATAAGCATAGTAATAATATAAAATAATAGTTGTCTGTTTAGTCTTGCGTTGCTTACAAATCAGAAGCTGTGTTTGTATTAATAGGGATCCACTGAGAAACTACTGTTTCAGTAGTAATTTTTTTTTCGTTTCTCTACTAATCTCATTAAGTAGACAGGCAATTGCAAATCTTAATTCTTCTTCAAGTAGCTTTCTTTAAACCCAGAACTTCCTATGTTAAACACAGCTGTTGTGTAAAAGGAGAAGATTGCCAGCATGTTTGTTCATGCCTAGAGTTATGCAATCTGCATCTCTTGAAAAGATTAACTTAAACAGCTTGTTTTCAAATGCTGCTTCTGGTGTTGAAACCTTTATCTTTCAACTTTGTTGAACCTTTTCATTGTGATGTTACATTTTTATCTTTCTGGGCAGCAGTACATGTCAGCCTAGTAGTAACTAGTGACTTGGATTCCTGCTTTCTTCTTGTAGAGGTCAGCTCTGTTTAAAACAGTGATCTTGCTTGCCTTTTTAGCAAAAATGCTCTTCATTAACTTAAATCCAGGGTACCCAAATACTTTCATTGTCTCTTAAGCCATAAGTTAAGATCTCAAGGGCTGAAATTAATTTGAATGTTAGATATGTATTATTCCTTATCAAAGATACAAGTTGTTTTTTTTTTTCTTAATGGATAAATTGTGGTCAATGCGAAATAAGTTACCCACAGATATACAAGAGGGGAAAAAAACCCCACCCAACCAAACAGATCTGGGCTCTGACTTTCAGAATAACTTTTCTCCACTAGCCACAGCTCCATATCTGAAACTAAAATGTGGAGGGTGACTATGCAGAGTATTTTTCTTAATTTTTTTGATTGCCCAGTGGCAATTTGGACACCCCTGACTTGAATCTACTGCCTATTTCATGTAAAAGTAGCTTTATTATAGAATAGTCACATAGAAAGAAAACAGAGTAGATCACATACCAGAGCTGTGCTTGAATCAAGCTGCTTAAACAATAGTGTACTTGTGCCTCAAATGAATCAGTTTTTGCACTGAGTACAGTAGTACCCCATTATCTTGTACTTCTGTCCTTCACAGACCCTAAAAGCCCCATTAGCATGGTTCTCTGCAGTACTTTTCTTGTACTTCTGACATTACAGTACAATAAAGTATGTTTTGTCCTGAATTGATATTTGCCATGTTTTTTGAGTAATTTTCATGGAGTCTGTCAACTGAATGACATAACCTGTCTTCCATTCCCTATATTGAGTAAATCATTGCGTTTCTACAGCACAGCGACAAGCTGTTGATGAGCCTCTCTCTGAATAGGTGGCAAAAGAGCGTACTGTTGATTTTGGAAGGTGCTAAGTAAAGCATCATGCATACCACTTGGACACTTGAAAGCCTTCAATGTACTCCTGTTAAAGAGAAAATAAAAACAGGAAATTGCTCATTTAATGGAATTCTGGGTGCCAAACATCTTTTCCTGTCTTTGAAAAGACAGCAAGCTAAGCAAAACTCCAGCTTCTGCAAGAAATGTGAAGTTTTAGCTTCTGAAATGGCTTGGGAATTGAGGAATTGGGAATTTGTATATCTGGAATTCTGTGACCTTTTTCTTTGCGTACAAATGTTAGGGAGAAGCCTTCTGCTAGCAGCTGGCCAACTTCATAAGCTGTAGCTGAAGAACTGAGGTGAGAGGGTCATTATATTGGTGTAATGGAGCCCGAGGAGCTTATTTTAACTTATATTGAGATCTCTTCATTTTGGTAGAATGTTAGACTGTGAGATGTTAAAGATTACTTTCCCCAAAGTCTATGACTTGAAAAACACTATTGAGGTGAATTCATTAAAAGCCTATGAAGCTTAAGCAAGTCCACTGCAGCTTTAAAACAGTAGACTTCGCATTGCTTTTTTAGCCCACATGCTGTTCCCTTCCATATCACCTTGATGGCTCTGTGGAAGAGTTTAGCCTCATAAGTTTTGACTGTTCCTCCTTGAGATGCTTTGTGTGTGAATACAGATAACTTACCTGTAGGGAACAAGACGATTGGTTACAGTACTGCTAGCAACAGAGGAGACATTGCTATTTGGCGTTAAGTGTTATTTTGTAGTAGTGCAGTAGCCTTGAATTCCCAAACAAGGCATGGCTGGCACAGCAAAATGTGCCACTACAGTGAACTTGTGCCTGGCGTGCGATGGTGTGCCTATGCTGCCTTAGGCAAAGAAGGTAGCAAGGAAATTACAGTGAACAATGGACTCCACTGTGTGTTTATGGAGACCTCAGAATTTGTGCTCTTAGGCTGCAGCTTGGGCTGAAGCTTAGGCTGCGGCTTGGGCTAGCAGTGGTGCTGTGACTTTTGCCCAACGTTAGCTGTATTAGTTTACATTAACTGCACTGTGATCTCATCCTGTAGTTGCAGTATAGGTGTACCCAAAAACTGAAGTACTCCATTAAAGCTGCTGACTACTATTTCAGCAAAACACAGCTTTAGGAAAATAAAAAGATTGGATGGTGTGTTTGTGGATTGAAAAAGCATTTACATTATGCTTTCTATTGATGTTCAAAAGAACTTTTGAAATGGCATACGTATCTTGTGGCTCTGTTAGAAAAGGTAGCATTAACACTGGGCTCTGGGGATGGCTATGGTCAGCTGACACAGGCTTATCCTAACAGAGCAAACTTGTCTCTTCAGACTTCTGCCAGAGCTGTAGGAAATAGTCAGCAGATCATCAATGGATTAACAAGTAAGGAACCGGTGAAGCTGCAGTTCAGAACACAATTGCCAGGTATACGGAAGAAGTGACTGGGAAGGCTATAGCATTGACGTGGGAAAAGGCTAGCTGGTTAATTAACCCTATTTTAGAAGAGAAACCTAAGCTGTGATGTTGCAGTACCATTCTGCAAAAGCCAGAAATAGTGTGTTGTGTTTCCTTCTTGGACCTGCCTTCACTTCTTTAACAAAACGATTAAAAAAAGAAAAAAAAAAAATCCAGTGAAGCTTGGTTTCCTGTGGCTCTTGAGAGCTTTGTGGACTCCCTGATGCCTGACACGGATGAAATGCTTTGTTCGATTGGGGCACTGATTAGGGTCGCTCTCCAATCTGGGCCCTGTTTTTGCAGGACTTTAAAGAACTAAGCAATTTTGAGACCCTTCATAAGCTGGAGTTAAAAGTGCCCAATAACTTAAAAAGATCACTTTGGGTGATGAGGAGGAGTATGACCTGATTGATGATGTCAGGAAATTTCAGGGAATCTGAAATATTATGGCCAGAGAAAATAAGCTCCTTGCTGTCTCATCAACTATTATGTGCCAAAGACATTCAACAGCTTCTGACAAGCCTAATTTTGATAGCGTGGAGCTGTTCCTGTTCCTCATTGTTACTTCCCTCACCACCTCTCTCTGGTGTAAGGATTTCTGGTACATGTAGGAAATTATAAGGGGAGAAATCTCACATTTGCCTTACAGCCTTTTGTTTGTTTACTAATAGGGTTGTTCTTATTTGAATGGATTTGTGATGCTAGTAAAACTGCTGGCAGTCTAATGCCAGCCTTTCACTAGGTAAGGGCCCTTCTGGCAGGGTATTAGTGATATTATCATCTCTCTCATCCTCAAGTCTAGGCAGAGGTTATTTGGGAATGATACTTGACTGAACGTCCTGCTCTGGGTAGAGGTGATGTGAGGGAAGACCTCATACACCTTGTTCGCAGGACACTTCCATTCCATTGCTATGGTACATCCCTTTCCGTCTGATGTTATTGTCGGTGTGATCTGCTTAAATTTGCATTGCAGCTCCTCCTTTTAAAAAGGAGGTGACTGTGAGACAGCAGTCTGTGCCTCTTAAAAGTGGCATTTCTCTCTCAGGGGCTTGAAATACCTACAGTTAGGTACAGGCTGCTCTGTCTTCTGCTCAGTTTGAAGGCGTGGCTGCGTTCCTGTTTGACTTGTTACTGCGGAAATAAACCCTGGCACTTGTCTAAGAAATGGCCAGAATGTCTCTGCAATGGGAGGCAGGTTATGGGAGGCAGAGAAACCCAGATAAAAAAGTAGAGAAAACATTTGTGTGTGTGTGAGGGGGGATTCAAGTCTTACTAAGCCAGACAATTTCACTCAGAAGCAGCAGAGGTGGAAGAAATTCTAGAGGTAAGCTTGCACCTTTTCTTTATGACTTGTGTGGGTTCAGGAAAAGTGGAAATCAGTTGGGCACTGTAGAGGATCTAAGGTCCCCTGATAAACAGAGGAAGAAGCTGAATTCAAGTGCTCCTGTTTCTTTTGAGAAACCTCATTGAACGTCCTCGCTATAGGAGATGGATAACGGGAAGTGCAGAACCAGAGCTAAGTTTCTGGCTTCATTGTGTTTGGATGAAGGCAGCTGGCAAGTATTTGTCCTTCAAAGTAGGCTCTGTTTTTGTTCTGATTATCTGAAGCATTTAACACTATCAGAAACTTGCATTTCTTGCAGAAGTAAAAATAGGAGAAAGAACAAAAAGCTATGGCATTAATTTACATTTCATAAGTCTCTGACAAGAGTAGGTGGGGGAGAGAAGGGTGTTCAGACCTTACGTTTTGACTCTGCCCATGAGAGAGATGTATGCTTGCCTGACATCAGGATCCAGTGCTGTTTCCCTCTAGGACTTGGGGATGTTTAGATTTGGGATTTTTCTTTGTCCTTTTGGAGGCATTTGATTTGACTGTTGTAAATGTTAACAAGTGTTTGCAACAGTAAGTTTACTGAATTACAACAGAATGTGCGCCATAGTTGTTTGCAGGCTAATGGCAGACATTGCAATAGATGCAGTTGGTGAAATAGGGAGACGCCTTTCCTACTAGGGGAACACAAGGCAGAATGGCTAGCTCATACAAGGGTGCTTAGCCAAAAAACTGCCTGGTGACTTTCATCTGTCCTTATAGATCGACTGAGTATCACAATCTCCTGTCCTTGCAAGCGTTTGAAGACTATTATTCTAAGCACAACTACATGGTGAGTACAGAAAGGAGTATGTTCATTACTTTTCAGGGGTGGACTTTTGCTCCAGTGCACCGTCAAGAAGGTGGGATGCTCTGAGGGAGGTTGTGAGAACTCGGGTGCATCCCACGGACAGGGTGCGGGAACAGCCTCTGTGGCTATGCTGCTGGTGGTATTTGCCCAGCAGATCTTTCTCCCCTGTCCTACCCATTTTTATTAGGTTTGGACTGGTCTGGAAATCCATGTGCAGGTATGCTTTAGTCCACACAGACTGCAGCTGCCCGTGCCCTCAACTAGAGCAATTTGCTTAGGCTTCCTTAGGGCAATCTGTTTGTTTTAGGGAATAGGGAGAAAGTAAAACCTACCTTAACTCAGTCAGCGACCACAGATGTACATGGTGAAACGCATGCAAAAAAAGCCATAACTGCATGAATCTGTAGTGATTGCTGCACTTTCCCTTAAGAATTAGCACAGTTTAAGGATTTGGGGAAGTGCCTGCTTTTGGCAGTATTAGGGGGTCACTTCTAGTATCAATATACCAGCATTATGGATTAGTCATTTCAGCTCAGAAGGGATCGATTCCATGTCTCCCTGCTGAGGAGGGATTAGCTTAGTGATGTACTCAATAAGCCTCCATTCTTGGGATGAAGTTTCTCAGCATGATTTCTTATTGTAGCCGAAAGTACATTAGAGAGATACGATTTAGGTCACAAAAGTAGAACACTTAAAAAAAAAATGCCAGATTTCCGATGGATTGGGTAGCACATGGTTATCCTGTCCCTGCATATGTGCAGCCTGGAGGTGAAAGTGGTATGTGATCACAAGAGTAAGGATGGCAGCATCATCACCCTTTTATAAGTATGCATTGAACTTGTAGTTAGAACCCCTGTCCCACCATTCCTAACTTTGGGCTGTTTGACTTTTTAATAATTTTTTTTCTAAAGGTAATTTGGATATGGACTTTCCGATATGCATTTAACTGGCAAAAGTAAAAGAAACTCAGATTAAGCATTTGCAATTGCTTCTTCATGACTGGGATTTGAACTGGGAAACCCCATTTGATGCAGTAACTGTTACTACTTACCTCCAAGGCTGACTGATACTTAACCAGCAGCTGGAGGAAACTTTTCATAAAAGAAGGCTAAGCAGATGTCAGACTTAGGCTTTAGAGGTTTTCATTTGATGTAAGATCTCAGCATGGGATAGGGACCTTTTTTTCAGTTTGA